TGTTTGTTTGTTTGTTTGTTTGTTTGTTTGTTTGTTTGTTTGTTTGTTTGTTTGTTTGTTTGTTTGTTTGTTTGTTTGTTTGTTTGTTTGTTTTACACTCCAACTAAAATAAAGTTGCTGTAATAAAAAATAAACATTTCTTCAACTTTGCTGTTTCATATCAAAATGAAGTGAAAAAATTAGCAGTTTAGCTTAAGCRACACTATATGTTCATTTATCTGATTATGGCTTAAGGAAGCTTCTCAAAACAATTTTTCCTCATCTCTAAGAAAATTTATCTGGCTTTTACAGAAATATCTCATGTAGGAATTTAAACAAAACTTTGGAGATCTGAGTATACACAAAAAATGACCTCATTCAAGATGGCTGCAAAATCAAAAAAATGACAACAAAATCAAAAGCAAAACACAAAAAATGACTGAACTGGCTGTGAAATAAAATTGACTTCGGCTTATCAGTAATCCGGAAAAGATCTGTAAATGTGATGATTAGGTGATGACTACACCTTTGGCCCCGCCCCCTGTAAGTGTCCACACTGAAGAATAAGACCAATCAGCATCACGATACAGAAAAGGTCCACTTAAAGTGCCTGTGACATGCTTATATACTTCAAATACAAAAAGTCAAAGAAAACATATTTATATTTAAGAAAATTAGCAAAATACACATGATTTTACCCATTTTGTCTCATAACTGGCCTATTTTCTCTTGAATTTGGCTCTGCAAAGTGAAACAGGAAGTGACATCAAAGAGGACTCTTTAAGAAAAGAAACTCTAGTTTTTGTTTATTGAAACTATCTTATTTAAATTCTTCTTCATCTCTGATAGTGACTCAAAATAATCAAAAAACATCAGATTCTTCTCTAATTATTGTAGCATTGCTCTGTTTACATGCAGATATTCCCCTTTGACATCACTTCCTGTTTCTTCACATGCAAATATCTCAACAATTACTCATCTCAATGGTGTAAAATTTGTTTTGTAACATGTTATCAGTGTTCTCTTTCCAAAAATGCATTCACATTTATTACAAAAATTTGATGTCACAGGCACTTTAAATAAGTCCAGAAGTTTTAAAATCCACAGAGTCCACTGATATCCCCTGAAGAGACATGACGTCTCTCTCTCTCTCTCTCTCTCTCTCTCTCTCTCTCTCTCTCTCT